CTTCGTGAATAACAATTATGCTATAATATGTAATGTCAGTTGTGAAAATAAAACAATATTTTGTCATGGTTTTGTATACTACAGTTCTTTATTAACATAAAAATATATGGTTGATCTTACATTTAGAGGGCTTCTCTTCAAATTAATTTAATAGGCCATCAAAGCTTACTTTACAAATTTTCGAATTGATACAATTAAAATAACATTTACTCTTGGTTTAGGACCTGAGCAAGATAGGGCACTTGTCTCACACGAGGCCCCCAGGGTCCCACATCTAGCATCCCATCTGGTACCCCAAGCACTGCCAGAAATAATTCCTGACAGCAGAGCCAAGAATAATCCCTATGTATAACTGGATGTGACCCAATAGAAATAAAAAAATAAAGTTGCACTTGGCAAGATGATTCTTGATAATTTTTATTTTTAGAAATAATATTTCTGCTGATAAAACTTTATAGAGATTGTTATGTGTATCTATAGCTTATAACAACATGTAGATTCATTTTTGATAAATCTGAAATGTAAATTTTACTCGATCGTCGATTTGATATAGAGCTCATGACTTTTGTAGAACATTTTCTTGAAAAGGTTTATTTCTTACAATTTTGAATCTGCTTTAAATCTTATCCTTTTCCTATAGAGTTTTCCTTTACAATCAAATGGTCTTGATTGCCTTTCCAAATCATTATTTGGTGCAATGCCACTTACAAGTGATGAGTTAGGAATGTGCAGTTCTAGTAATCCCTCTTTTCTATGCGAGTCCTGGGACCCCTCACTTTTGGTGAGGCCCACTAGGGCCAATGCCAGAGTCAATCACTCATAGCATCCATGCTGCGGTCGGGCACTATTCTTCACTTCCCCCATCACTGGCAGTATTGCAGCTTGCAGAGGTCCAAATATTCACCACAACTCTTCCCCAGCCAGCACCCTATTTCCCAGGAAGTAATAGATACAACAGTCCAAAGAGGATTAAAATCGCCTTTATTAATGATGAAAGGACACAGTTGAGAGTGTGAAATTCAAGTGAGGTTTCTTTTGTTCTCTGAAGGGATGACAACTGAGCCCATTGGACAAAGCTCACCAGACTTACCCACCCCATCACAGACTGAGGCTGGAATATGGAGAACCGAGTCCTGGCTGGGCCCACCACAGGCCGGTCTTGCTGGGTCTGTTATTGCATGTAGACTGGAAGCCCATAAGCAGGTCCAAGAGAAAGAGAGAGAGAGAAGCAGGAGGACACGTAAGCAGGGACCTTCAGCACATTGTCTCCACCCAGTAGAGAAAGAGGGCCCAGAGACTCAAGTCTACCAACCACAGCCATCCCCAAACCCCCCAGCAGCAGGCCTCTCACAGTCCATTTAGGAGAGAGTATGGCTAAGAATGTGCCTCTCTTCAAAGAACAAGTATTTCCTCTCACTGACTGAGCAAAAAATCTAGAAATAGGAGAGCAGTTTCTTCCTATTGGGTCAAAAGTCTGAACCAATTCATACATAAGTAACCAAGGGCCATTTTATGTGTCTTCCAGTCTATAGACACTGGCCATTACAAAAGAACTTGCTAGAACCCTATCTATCAGACTGTAGATCCATAGTCACCTCATTCTTGAACACTAACCTCTGAACTCCTTTTCTTGTAATCTACAGCCCAGACCTCTGAGATCTGCTGAATAAATACTTGATATATTTAACTAAGGATTGAATTAATTCAATTAATCACTTTCCCATAACCTCCCCTTTTGTGAAATGGGCAAAATGGGTAAAGGTGGTCAAGGCTGACAAACTTTACTATTATAAGGTGAGGAAGTCTTAGGGATTTGATAAACAGCATGGTTATTCTACCTAAAAATACTATCTTATGTTTTTGAAAGTTAAGTCTATAAGCAGATCCTAAAAGTTCACAGAGAGATAGCTAAATGAGTTGTAATGCCTGTTTGCACCTGAACCCAGGATAGCACATTTAATCCTTCAGCACAGGTGGAAGCCTCCAAAACAAAATAAGTTCTTGCCGCAAGGAAAAAAAAATATATATATATATGTAATTAAGATGGTGAAAGTTGACTGATCATCTTGAAATTTATGCAGATACCAAATCAGTTAAAGCAAAAACAATGTTATCTGTAAATCGTACCTCTGTTTTGGGGGCGGGTGCACCCAGTGGTGCTCACAGCTTACTCTTAGCTGTCTTTAAGGAATCACTTTTAAGTGATTAAGATTTAAGAATCACTTCTATGGGTACCAGAGAATAAACCCAGGCTTGCTGAGTGCAAGGCAAGCACCCTAATGGCTGTACTATCTCTCTAGCCCTGTTCACTGTGTCTTAATAAAAGAACTTTGAAGTTTTAACAGGCCACCACAGCTAGAGTACAATTTAGTAGAGGGCCCATTTTGCTTCACTCAACAAACGCTGAAGAGTTGTACCAAACTAAAGCAGAGATCCTTTTAGGCTGCCCTGTGTATAGGGAGAATAGTGGAATAATTAGACTTTTTAAGGATCTATAAATAAATAAAAGAAACTTTAGGGTGAGTATAACCATTAAATCTGATGTAGCTCTCTGTGGTATACTCATTTCTGGAAAGAAATAATGGCACACAAATTCCCTGCAGTCCAAATTCCTAATGCCAAACACATCTCTTCTATTTTTTTTCTATGCTTTTCGTTTTCTTCATAGATCCTAATGCTATTATTTAGACAATAACTTTCTTCTATGTCTGGGTACATTTCCTAAGCACTTGGTCTTCTTCCTCGCATCCTGGGTAATGTCTGCAAAGATTCATTCCACCATGACATGTGATTTCTTCACATTATCACCATTCAAGGGTGACTTCATTTCATGGTTCTTAAAAGGAATCTTTCTGTAGTTTACAGTAGTATATTTATGAAACTTTAAATAAAACTAAATGATTGCAGAAACATTTTTTTCCCCAGAGTATTTTTATTTAGGGATTCCTGCCACCCAATTAACATAGAGAACAATCTGGATGTTGACAGAGAAATGCAAATTTCACTATACAAAGATAAGGCTCCAATCACAGGTAACATGGCCCCCAAATCTCTATTATTTCAATAAAATGAACTCATTTTAAATTCTTCCCAGAGTTGTCTTTGCAAATATCAGACAGGCCACAAGATATAGTCCAAATACATAGCATTTTACAATATGTTTCAAGCACAGACAGAAATACACAATACTCTATCTACTTTTCTTCATAATTTAACTCCCATTAGCACTAAAAGGCAAGATTGTGTGTGTATATGTATTTACCATAAGTATGTGTATAAATAATCACAAGTGTACACACTAGTTTTTACGGAAAACTTAAGCCTTTGAAACTGTAGATCCACCATGATCACTGAGATGGAAAAGGACCAGTAACATGTCACAAATTTCTCAATTGGAAAAAAAATAACATAACCATGTATTACGGCATATCAGTTGTGTGTATGCAGATATCCACATATATACAGATTCATATGCAAGCACACATAAGCCAACAATATGGAATATACATATACTCACACAATTGCTCAGATCTCTGTATTTCACTATATTATAATCTCTCCCTCTTTGCAAGCAATCTCGTTCTCCTTTGATGCAGGCATTTGAGTAACTGTATTCTAACAAAACTTTCGTTGTTGCTTTCTTGTGGTTGTTTTTTGGGCCACACCTGGCAATGCTCAGGAGTTACTCATGGCTCTGTACTTAGGAATCACTCCTGGCAGTACTTGGGGCTATAGGGGATACCTGGGATTGAACCCAGATCGGCTGCATGCAAGGCAAGTATACTATTCCCCCATATTATCTCTGACCCATTAAGTACATATTTTTAAAGACTCTGATTCTATCTCAAAAAAATGGCACAGTAGAATCCCAGTTTTACTTTTGGTGACTGTAAATTAAGATTTTAAAACAGGATAGCAGAGCCTGTTTGTTCTTTCAACTCCTTCACTTTGAGGACATTTCTATTCCATTAAATTTGTGCCTAAGAGAAAACAGACAGTAGCTGGAACTGTTAAAATCATATATTATTAGTCCTTAATATACATACACATGGTTGGACTGTATGCGATATATCAGTATTTTTCAAATAATTTATAATGATGTCTAAAATCTAAAAAATATAATTAATAATTTAAAAGGTGAGGGTTAAATGTTTTGCGATGGATACAACTTTTAAAAAATGATAAATAAATATTATTGGGAGAGGTATTAATTGCATACAGCTATAATGGAGCACCTTTATATCAGAAGCCTGACTTAGAAATCATGAAAAAGGGGGATTAAAAAGACCTTTAAGTTCAAAGGGGACCATTTGAAACTTCCTAAATAAACTGTCAAAATTGAGTTTATTAAAAAGCAAAATTAATGAAAACACTACAAACTTCTTTTTTTTCTTTTTGGTTTTAGGGGCACACAAAGTGGTGGTCAGGACTTACTCCTGGTTCTGTGCTCAGGGATCAGTCCCAGTGGGCTCAGGGCCTATAAAATGCTGGGGATAGAACTCCAGACAGCTGCATACACTAGCTCTGCCTCCTGTACTATCTCTTGTCCCCAGACATACCACAAACTTCATAGCATGTGTACATTAGCGTTCACTCAACTTAAGGCTTCAGGAGTTGACCATTAAAACTTATTTTCAAAAGCAAAATACTTCACAAGCACTCAGCTCCTTTGGATAGGATTGGAATGACCAATTTTCAAATTGTGCTAATGACAGAGGAAAGGAAAGACGTCAGGTAGCCCAATCTTTTTGTAAACACAGGCAATGGAACATTTCAATCCATGTAGGACTCTCAGCGTGCCATACTCTTTTTCTGTCTATTTTTTATATTAAAAACTGATTTAAAAAGCTATTGATAATTGAGTTTTAGGCATATAATAATTCAACACCAATCCCACCAACCAGTGTCAACTTTCCCCAAGTGTTCCCATACCCCCTCCTCCAACCCTCACCCCATCTCCGCCTGTCTACTTGACAGGCACATACAAAGTTCAATGGTTGCAGCTTAGATCTCACATTTTTAGTGTTGCTGAGTCGTGTCTTGGATATTTGGCTAAACCTCTCTCACATAGCACCAGGATAACTGACGCCCTGATGTCTGTTAACACATTACTTCCTATTCTCTTCTTTTCCCTTTGATATTTTTCCTTCTCCATCCTTCTCCTCTCTAAACACTGGGGTCGATCAATACTGTGGTATAATTGAGAAAGAAAAGTGTATGGATCTTGGGATGCCTTATACCACAGTATTGATTAGTTGTCCACATAGAAGCCATCAAAGGTTTCTGTTATGACTATAATGGTATGAAGGAAAGTATGAGAGCATTTCTCCATAATGCCTGTTTAGGGAGTCATTTTAGTACTTTTCTTGAGCTGAAATGCTGCATCACCCAGTAAATTCCCTGGACCCCAATTATGAACTTATGAGTTAAGATCTTAAGAAACTTAGACAATGAGTATATAGTGCCCACTACAGAGAAGATCATAGGCCTAAGGAAGAGGCCTCCATTCTCATAATAAAGGGGTTCCCTGTCTCCTCCATTCTCTCTCCCTTTTCACACATGCACATATCTTGGATTTTCTTCAATAGAAACACAATGAATAAAATGAGGTACCAAAAATGTGCCTTAACTGTATTTCTGATTATCTTGATCCATATAGACTATATTCATGCCATCCCAACAGTGACTTCACTGTCACTAACATCATCCAATATCTTGCCTCAATTTCATTTTAAAAAGAGGGGTTTCCAACCAACCCTTGCCTGCTGGCCTCACCCAAAATCTTTTCTTGCTACTTGCCATTTGTCCAATTCCTATTATGTCCTTTATTTGGTTAATAAATATATACAATAATATGCAATTAACTGTCATATATTTTAACTGTCTTCTTTAAAGTTTCATTTCCCTAAAAGCATTCTGCTACCCCACTCAACCTATATGGACAGATGCAAATGAAAGTAGCAAGTCATCTTGTCCGAGCACTTTGACAAAAGGGCCACCTGATGTCCACTTGATGCTCTGTTTCTACATCTTCCAGTTCCATCATCCATTTGGGGAGCTTACTTACTAAGGTATCTTTCTACTGACTCCCTATCTCATGTGCTGCTGAAAACAAATTTGGGGAATTATTTAGTCAAGAAATATTTCAAAAACCAACCAGTGCCAAAATGTTAAAAAATTCCCAAGATACCCTTTGTGCATTAATCTTACAATTTATACACTTAAATAACTCCAGGATGCTACTTTTCTTCTTTTTTTTTTTTGCTAAAAATTTACCAAAATATTTTAAACACATAAAAATATTTTTAAAAAAACAAAAAGAAGAACAGCATAAATTTAGTTGTATAGGCATTGGTTAGAGAACATTGTTTTTACTAAGGATTATATTCAAAAGCTTTCTCTTGGGTTTTTACCAAAGCTCTGATTCTGAACCTTATAGCTTGTAATGGTGTTATTAAAAAAACGGGAAAGCTAATGCAGCTTAAGGAAGTACATTATATAATAAAGAGTATGTCTATACTGTAATAAAATATAACTTATTTTTGGTTACTTAAAGGCCATTTTCTTGACACATAACTAAAGTAACTATTTAATTTAAACTTAAATGTAGTGGATTATGGAGAGCAAACTTAAGTGTTGGAATCATCAATGATGGATAAAGAAATGCCTGTTGACGGCCCCATGGCCACTCAGAATCAGACATCTGCTGGAAAAAAATCACTAGTATCGAATATAGCCCTTAGTAATCTGAGAAACGAACTTTACGAGCAACCCAGCATGTAGAGAATGAGTTTTACTTTGCCGGTCACCCATTCCTTGAGAGGACAGTAGTACTCATAGTGAAACTGCTCAAACTCTGGTGTCTGGCGGATTTCACATAAGAAGGAGAGATCAATACCTGACTCCAAAAGGAGGAGGAGCAGGGGAAATACAAAGAGCATCAGGCCCAGGCCCACCACAAGAAGTCTGGAGAAACTCTTGACCAGTGGGTTCACCCGAATGTGGCTGCTGAGAATGTCATAGCTCCATGACAAAGCCCGATGCGCCTCCTTCAGCTCCTCTTCCTCAGCCATTAGAAAAGCATTCTCATCTGCTTCCAGCTCCTCAAAGGAATCTGTGTCTTCTCTTTCCAGCTCCAGCCTGGACGGACAGTCAAAGAGCATGTCAATCTCATCATCATCAACGGGGGTAGGGAGCAGGCTGGCACTTGGGTTGTAGACCAGTTCAGAGATAGTAAGGGGATCTTCTTTCATTTTATCTTCCTCTTCGCTCGGGAGATCTTCATACTCCTGGGCCTCTTTCACAGGAGAGCTGGAGATCAAGGGGGCAGAAACGTTGTTTTCTTTGGACAGTGGGACACCTGTAATGAGACCATTTTTTTCATAACTGAAAGCCTCAGAGTTCTTTTTCACAAAGGTCTTTAGATGAAAACAAACAGAAGGGATAAAAAAATCATTCTGTGGAATCTGACTTTAAGCAGTCACGTTAGTAATAGACCTCAATTGATAAACCCTAAAGTCAACATACTAGGCCAAAAATAACTAGCAAACCTAAAATGACTGATAGTATTTACAATTAATAGTCTGCAAACTCCAAATTTGGTCATGAGTCTAAGAATAATATAACAATAAATCACTATTATGTTTTATAATTATTAGTGGTGTCATTCAGAAATTTAAACTATCATCTCAAAGATTTTAGTAAAATTGCAGAATCCACAATTCAATGGTGGTGGAAAATGTGCACTGGTGAAGGGATGGGTGTTTGATCATTGTATGACCAACAGAGACTTAAACTGAAAGGCTCTGTGACTGTTTTCATGGTGATTCAATAAATAAAAAATTAAAAGTTAAAAAAAATCAAACTCTCACAATTTGCAGATAACATACACCTAGAAAACCCTAATGACGACCCAATACTCCTAGAAGCAGCATATTCAATTTTAAAGGATGCAGCAAATGTAGTTCTAAGCAGTTTCTTTTATTTATTTATGTATGTATTTTAAATTTTATTATTAAAATTTAATTTATTTAAATTTAAATTTTATTAATTTTATTATTAAAATTAAAATTTTATTTATTTAAATTTAAAATTTAAACTTTATTTATTTTAAATTTTATTGAATTGCTGTGAGATAGTTACAAGCTTTCATGTTTGGGTTACAATCACACAATGATCAAACACCTATCCCTCCACCAGTACACATTCTCCACCACCAATATCCCCAGTATACCCCCCCCTTTCCCACCCTCCCCCTTTTATGGGAGACAATATTCCCCATACTCTCTCTCTACTTTTGGGCATTATGGTTTGCAATACAGTCTAAGGAGTTTCTAACAGAGAAGTTCATGCTTGTGTTAAGTGAGAGAGATACCAAGTAAGTAACCTATTTCTACATATTAAAGTTATGGGTAGAGGGAGTGTGCAAGGGTGTGGGCAGCCCCAAGTTGATGGAAGGAAGTAGTAAGGATTAGAATTAGAGAACAGGAAATAGAGAACAGGAAAGTAATAGAAAATATTATGGGTTGCCCAAAAGCAGAGAGAGAGTATGGGGAATATTGTCTGCCCTGGAGGCAGGGGAAGGGGGGTATACTGGGGAGATTGGTAGTGGGGAATGTGCACTGGCGGAGAGATGGGTGTTTGATCATTATGTGATTATAACCCAAACATGAAAGCTTGTAACATTCTCATGGCGATTCAATAAAATTTAAAAAGAAAAAGAAAAAGAAAAAGAAAATATTATGGCTCTTTGAAAAGATAAACAGAATTGATTTTTACCTAGACTAGAAGTTTCCAAATTTACTTGGCTTACTGCCCTCCACCTCTATTAGAAAAGAAATCATGTAGAGCATCCTTAGAAATCTACCTTCATTAAAACTAACAAAAGCACCCCCATTTGTACCCAAAACTACTACTCCCCTCCTGGTCCATTCCTGCAAACCCCAGGGGGGCTATTTTGGCCACTCTGGAAAACACCAATTTAGACTAATGAGGATAAAAGAGGAATCTAATCAACAAAATTATAACTAAAAAAGATTACCATTGAAATGTAGGTTCTATAAACAACTATATGCTAAGAAACTGAACAAGCTTAAAGAAATATAACAGTTCTTAGAAACATTCAAATTACCTTAACATACAAAACTAGTCTGAGTTGGCTAATTAATAAGGAGATTGAATTATCAATTATTAAAAAAACCCTCTAAACAAGTGGGGGTCGAGGAGGGCAGATAAGATAGAGACAACTATGATAACTGGACAAGAACTGAGTGCTGAAGGCAAAGGGATATATATGATAAACTTTAAATATCTATATTGCAAAAATGCCCAGAAGAAAGAGAGAGGAAGAGGAGACAGAGTGTGTGGGAGAGAGACATAGACAGAGACAAAAAGAGACAGAGACAGGGAGAGAGAGAGAATGAGATAAAGATGTCTGGCATAGAGTGGCAGGCTGGGGTGGATGTCAGGAGGGTAACTGGGAACATATGTGGTGGGAAAGGGAGGGTTGTTGGAACATTGTATGAAACCAACAAACATGAACAATTTTGTTACTGTGATAAAAAAAAAAGACAACAACAACCTCTCACCAGGACAAGGAAGGATACTGGGATCCGTGGTGGTGGGAAATGGGCATTGGTGGAGGGATGGGTATTTGATCATTGTATAATTGAAACCCAAGCACAAAAATGTGTAAGTCTGCAACTGTACCTCATGATGTCTCACTATTAAAAATTTTAAAAAAAGACTAAAACACATACTTTGAATGAGGCCCCAAATTTGATCCCCAGAACCACACCCTCTTCCCCCCCCCCTTTCCCCCGCAACCAGGTGTGAGTCTTGGAGGCTGATAGGGCACCAGCAACTCTGGCCTGAGCAGTAACATATCATCAGGCCTGAGGACTGAACTGTCCAGTGCAGCTGAATAATCATCCCTAGGAATGGCTCCCAATCCCTCCTGAGCATCATTTAACAAGAATAAAATAATCTCCTGTCTGATATTAAAGATGTGATGCTAATCCTTTGAAATTACCAAAGAAATCAAAGAGGAGAGAACACTCTTAAAATCTCAGCCCAGCATTACCCTGAAACCAGAGGAAGAAAGCACTACCAGAAAATAAAAATATGGACATATTAATATGCATGCCAAAATTCTGAATAAAATACTAAGAAAGTGGCGATAGAGCAATAGTACAGCAGGTAGGGAGCCTGCCTTGTATATGGCTGACTTGGTCAATTCCCAGCACCCCACATGGTCCCTTGAGTCCTGCGAGGGATGATAAGCTCTGAGCACTGCTAAGTGTTTCCCGAAAAAAAAATACTAACACTGTCCAGCAACTCATTAACAGGTGAATTCACCTTTATTATTAAGGATAGATATAGAAGGATGGTTCAAAATAAGCAAAACAACATACTACATTATATTTCTGAATGAAGGAGAAAATATTTCAATAAACAGAGAAAAATTATTTGACAAGATGCATCATCCAGGGAGTATGGTGCTGCCAGCAGGTCAACCTGTACTTGCAGGGTGAGTGCATCAGCAGCCTGATGGTGCCTGCAGGCTTCCCGATACCCCAAAATTGCCTCTGTGCCTTTGGTCAGACCCCAACAACTTGGGACAAGGTCACCAAGAAACTAAATGGCTAAAAGTTAGGTCTGTGGGAGCCACATCCACAAACCACCTCCTGCTCAGCTATACAAGCTCATTTATTGATCTTGTTTCAGAGACCCATAGATAAATCTCAAAAGAGACCAAAATTTGCAGTTAATCTTGGACCCACACATGGCTGATAGATTGGAGTAAATCGGAGGGGGTCAGGTTGGCCTGTGCCCACCCAAGCAGATTCCCCCAGCAGCTGCTTGCTTCCACAATCTAAAATCACTGCCATGTCCCCAGTCTTGAGGATAAGGTCTTAAGATGGTCTTCCACCATCTCAGGACAAACCTCAACAAGATATAATCTGCTGAAAATTCTGGTATGCGGGTTCTGTGACTGATATCTCCAGACTTTCTCAGATTTGGAGTGGGTTACCTCCCCCCACTTCCCAATACACATGGAAGCTTTGGCAGTCACCCCTACGACCCAACTCCAGCACCACCTTGTAAGCTCTACTACCGACCTTGCTTCAGAGACCCCTAAATAAATCTCAAAAGAGATCAAAAGCCACAGAAAAGTTTGGACCTGTGGATGGCTGAACAGACTGGCGTAAATTGGAGGGAGGGAGGTTGACATGTGCCTGCCCAAGCAGAACCCCTGGCAGTCACTTGCTTCCACAATCCAAAATTGCCGCCACACCTCCAGCCTGACTCCACCAAGATGGACCTTGGTGAGGATGGACCTCACCAAGATATAATCTGCTGAAAATTTTGTAATGTGGATCTTAGTGCACCAACAACCCTGACCCAGAGACACAGCAGCAAGTTCTGGAAGACATCACAGTGCCAGAGATCTCTCTGGGTCCCATATCAGGTAAACTTCACTGAGGCACTCCAGATGGAGCAGGTGCTGTCTCCCCTTCTACTCCAGATGGAATCTTGGCGACTGAGAGCTTCCACAAGCAAGGACCAGGTATGTAGGTCCCAGGAGTGAATCTTCAGGCCACATGGTGGTAGAGGACAGGGGCTGTCCCTCCCTCCCACCCACCTGCCCAGCAGACTGGCTGTCATCCCCACAATTTGCCTCTGGGTGCCATATTAGTGCACAAAGAGCGTTGGCCCAGAGACTCCCAATTGAATCCCAAAATGGATTAGTGCCATATAAAGACATTTCTGGAACCCAAACTTTTACAATCTAGAAATTTGCATGTATAATTGCAGCTATGTGAGCTCTCATGATATTCAAAATGAACAGTGGAAAATAAATTATCTAGCGTCTGCCCCTGGCAGGTAAGCTTGAATGGTGGTGGGAAATTTCAAGCAAAATATAATGTCCCAATTTAGAGAGAAAGTATTGGGGAAACTGTCTGCCCTAGAGACAGGGTGAGGACTGGTATGTGGGTGGTGGAAAATGTGCACTGGTGGAGGGATGGGTGTTCCATCATTGAATGGCTGAAACTCAAACATGAAAGCTTTGTAACTCTATCTCACAGTGATACAATTAAAATAAAAAGTAATGGGGAGTTCATGCCCAATTCAATCAGCTTAATCAATGGCTGTACTTGTACATTAAAAAAAATTTTGGTTGAAGTTCTAGTTGAACTTCACATACTGATCAAATAAATCAATTCACTTGTTAATGGTTCACCTTAAGCTTAGATTTTATTTGCATAACAAAATATATGCATAAACAAAACAAAATAAAAAATATTTTAATTTAAAAAAAAGATGCATCATCCAATCAGCATTCAAAAGCTGAAGAAA